CCTCACTTGAACCTGGGAAGGACAGTTCCAGTCAACTTTTTAAAAAAAAAAACGTAAGGTGAGGAAAAGGTAGTAAGTGTCAGGAGCCAAACATTACCTGCCCAGTCTAGACCCGATTCACTTATAGGAGGCGATTCAGTGAAGAATTCCTCGAAATCCTGCGGGTTGAAGGTCGAAGTGGGAAGAGCTACCAAGCGACTCCGCTTTTCAGAAAGATTGGCCGACAGTTCGGTGCTTTCTTGCTCCTCGGAGAAATCCGTATCATGGATTTGATCCAACAGAATCAGGTTGCTCTCGTGCTCCTTGATGTCTGATTCCAAATCTGACCTAGCCTTCTCGGTCTGCATGAAGCGGATGGCCCCTTGGATCAACTCCATCCCGCGTCCTTTAACTTCCTTTCTTGCTTTCGATGCCGACCTTGCCAACTCGGAATCACGCAATTTGGCAATCGCCTTGTACTTCGCGTTAAGCTCAATGAGTTGGTTATTCAGGGTATCGGCGGTTGATTCGGATTCGTGAAGCCTACCCTGAACACCAGAAAGCTCATCCTGGAGTTTGAAATTTTGGTCGTACTGATCCTGCAGCTCCCCCTTAATCTTCGCCAGCTCGGATGTTAGACTGTCGACTTTGTCCTCCAGGTCGTGCTTGGAGCCGGTAGAAAAGCTTAGTTCAGCCTCAAGAGCAGAAAGTTTTTTCTTCCACGCGTCAATCTCCTTTTCCTGACCAAGGACCAGCCCCTCATAATGTTCAACCATGTCATTAAGCTCACCGTTAGCCTGCCATTATGCATGAAATCGAGATGGTGAGGCATTTCGATGAACGGCAGCACAATCGGAAAATTAAAGCGAAACTAACCCGAGATGAATGATAAGCATGGAGCAAATAGCATTCACGAATCGCAGGGCGCCACTTGTCGAAGTCTGGAAAGGTCGAACCCGATCGGGTCTTGAAGCATCGGAAAACGCTGCCTTCCTTCTCCATAGCTGTAAAGGAGGAAGAGTTGTAAAAATTGGAATCTGAATAGAGACAAAAACTTTTGAGACTGTGTAAATCATCAAACCTGAAAGCGATTTGACTTGAGGGACAAGAGCAGGCTTTAACCTCGAGGAAGTATCTCGGGATTCAGAATCTCCTTTTTTTGGAGATGCGCTCCGTGCAGTCTTTTTACTGTCAGGCTGGGAAGAGGAAGACATTTCAACCGGTCGTGGAGGACCCATTGGTTCAATAGGAGGGGATGATCGAGGTGAACGGTCAGTCCGGGGCCTTGACTTCTCCCTTCGCGGGGAAGAATCACTACGAGAGGACTTGTCTCTCTTCCTGCGAACCAAGTTCTTAAGTGGTTCGTTGCTAAAGACATCTCGGGGGGGACGAGGTGAATCACGGCGAGGAGATCGGTCCCTCCGAGGAGAACGTGAGTCACGATGATCACGACGGGGAGTTAATCTGAAAGAAGCAACAGATCTGGCTCCTTCGGTGCTGCCATCATCAACCAGCAGGGTCCTACTGTAGTCCTTCTTATCTATAGAAGTCGCGAGAAACTTTTTCTTCTCCTCACAAGCCTCAGCTATCGGCTTGGAAAGCACCTTACGCTTGGTCGCAAGAGCCCGAGATGACATCCCCTGAGTTGAGGGAGGAGGCGGAAGTTGGTGAAGTTGACCCGGTGGACTCATCCTGAGCTTGTGGTTAGCTTCTAGGAATCGTTCAAGAGTGAAAGAATTCCAAAGGGTTTCCCCTTCGAGGATTATCTTGAAGAATTCGATGAACCCTTCGGATGGGAGAATGGAAGCGATGAAAGCTGCGAAATGAAACAACAGTTTTAGTCAATAAAGATAATAAAACAACCGGAAAAGATATATGCGACCTAATCTCTACCAGGCTTCGCAGACCACTTCGATGGGAGTAAATCTGCAAGATTTCCAATCGAAGCGGGAGTTTTCTTAATCAGAAACCAAGGATGGTGCCAATTTTCATCCTTGTTTGGAAGGTGCGAGATGATGTTTCTATTAGCGTTCGGATACGCTGAGAAGTACCCCGTCTTCTTCGATGAACTTCTTACGCTTAGAAGCTCATTTAGTTCAGTGACTCCGATAACATATCCGGCCTCCGCCGCGATTGTTATAATTCCGAGGATAGTACGAAGAAGATTAGGGGTTAATTGAGGAAGAGCAATTTCAAGAGCCGCTAGGTATCGAACTAGGGCTTCGGGAAGAGGAAAGGTCAACCCGCAACCTTTAAAATAGATCTCGTATACACAGAAGTAGCCGTCGCGGTGGCTTTCTGGGGACTCCGTAGGATCAGTTATCTGCGCCTCTGCCATAATTCCCGGTGGGATTTGGCAGAGCCCCTTCAATCGCTCAAGGGATTGAAGGGTGCAGGTGGATCTATAGTGCGGACCGGCAATGTCATTAGGGCGGGTGCACTCATCATTGCTAGAACGCCTCTCATCGAAGGACGGAGACTCGGGTCTATCGGAATCGGAAGTCATTGGGAATTTCAAGTTTCGGGAAAAAGAAAATTTGGAGAGAGAAGTAGAAGGAGTTTTAACCACAATGATCAAGAGTAAAAGAAAGAATGAAAAAGAAGGTTACCTCAAGCTAGGTGATAATGATGAAACCGTCTTGGGAATCGTGGAAGAAGTGGGAAGGTTTTTTCCCGCTTTAATAGTAAATAATCGATATACGGTCATAATGGCGACAGATGTCACGCGACTAAATATGGGTAGCGCCGAAATTAAAGGTCTGATGGGATTTTGGCGGGAAAAATCAGAAGATTCCTCGGAACGCAATCTTTGGTCATTAAAGCATTTAAAAGTCCTCCGAATTGGAATAGTACTTCGAAGAACTTGGGGGGCTAACTGTTGGTGTCGGATCCCGCACCAGAAGTCCGAGACCAACCAAAGATTGCCACGTAGTCAAGATAATGGCCCATAAAGGATAAAGCCCATTGGACCCATGAGCCGAAGGAACGGTCGAAGTGGTTGTCACCACTTCGAGAATCCGAAGTGACTGCACTGTGACATGAGTTCGGTGTAGAAGACACGGGTAAGTCGGTTCAAGGACACTTGGGCCGAAAAGGCGAGGCCCACAAAGATCAGAGTCAACTCAAATTCAAACGTTGAGCATTAAAGTCAAAGAATCAAAACGGACGCATTTAAGAAGGAATAATTGTACTTAATTACTCATTTTAATGCCGTTTCTCTATGTATAAATATAAAGGCCAATGGCCATGTAAAAGGGAGCGATCTCTAAAGCAAGAAATACGATAGCAATTTTTGTAGCAATTCATAAGCCTTTTACTTTCTTATTTTTGTCCCTCGAGAATAATCTTTCCTACTAATAAAAATACTTGAGTGTGTGAATCCGACATCCACAAATATGGACCAGGCCCACCCATTGAGCAGCCCAATGGTGGTGAGAAGCCTTGGATTGGATAGTGATCCATTCGGTCCAAAGAAGGACGAGGAAGAAGTTCTCGGTCCTGAAGTGCCATACCTCAGTACCATAGGAGCGTTAATGTACTTGGCTAGCCACACTAGACCAGACATATGTTTTGCCGTGAACCTCCTTTGTCTAAATTTAGTTCATGATCAACCCAAAGGCACTAGAAAGGTTTGAAGGAAGGTTTGGTTAAATTTTAAATTCTATTCTTCCTATGTTTGTTTATTTGGGTTTTATTCTATACTGATCTAACCAAAGAAGGTCTAGTTTGCTTTGGTTTAGTTTGTTTTGCTGATGCAGGTAAAATCAGATTATGGCATGGTCAATAAATAGGAACTACGTGTGGCTTGATCCCTTCCAAGGGTACGTAGGCAGCCTTCTTCAAGGCGCAACTACTACAACATCAAAGACCATCATATTAGGAGACAACACAGCCTGTATCGCTCAGCTCAAGGACGGCTACATCAAGGGAGATCGGACGAAGCACATTCTACCAAAGTTCTTCTTCACGCATGACTTGCAAAGGGATGGAGAAGTTCGAGTGGTACAAGTTCAATCCTGTGACAATTCAGCCGATCTATTCACCAAGGCATTACCAACATCGACATTGAGGAAGCTCACGCATCAAATTGGAATGCGGAGACTTAAGGACTTACAGGGATGACCAAATCAGGGGGTGTAATACGTGTTGTACTCTTTTTCCTTCACCATGGTTTTGTCCCAATGGGTTTTCCTGGTAAGGTTTTAATGAGGCAGCATCCCCAAGCGTATTACTGAGATCCTTTGGCATCTACACGGTTATGTCATCCAAGGGGGAGTGTTATAAATCACATATTGGATGGACTCCATAACCGTGGGCCTAATCCATATCCTAGAAGGCCCATGTCCATGTTCTTGAAGATTCTCCTTATGACGGCCTATATTGTACTTAGTGGACTTTTGGGCTTTAGGGTTTACTAGCCCAATGGGGATTTGTCTCCCCTCATCATGTATATATATGTATCGAAACCTCATTCATTAATAGATAGAACAACAAGTTTTATAACAAAAAAAAGAATAATGGAAAGAAATAAATCTTTGTAGGGACGACGGACCCATCTTCATGGACAAGGTTTGTGGAGCTATTTTGTATTCGATATAATAAAATTCACTATATATTTTGGATTTTTGTAAATATCTTCAACTTTTATTCAGAGATATTTCTGTGATTAAAGAAAATAAAAACCAGCATTTTCCTGCGTCGACATACATTGACTGCACCAATGGGAAAATTACAAAATATCTATAGTAGATTATAGATATAAATCCAACTTTATATTAAAAAAAAAGAAGTTATCATTGAATAAGTTAATGCCAAGTGGAAAAGACTCACCAGTTTACCAGAATGGCCCCCACTTCAAAGTAAATAATGTATATTAATATCCATAGCCGACAAACCAAGTATTCACAGGTTCAGATTTCGGTTTAAGTCCTACCGGTTATAACACACAACTAAATCCATCAAAGGAGCACAAAATCTCTACTAAAAAAGAGTACAAACATGAACAAAAACCAAACAATGAATGATAATGGTTAAAACAATTTATATAAATTTGGCCAAAGATTTATCAGTTAGTTTAGTTAAGAGGACAAAATATCAAAATCACAATTTGGATCTTTTGACAGAAACTCACGAGATTTGTTTCTTCTAACTACTTTGAACTGTAATATAATAAGAGCAAAAAAAATTGCATCAAAGAATAAATCTTGCAGAAGAAGAAGATGTGTAGAAGCTCTCTCTCTATCTCATGTTTCTTCCACCGGCTGAAACTTTCCGGTGACGCCTTTTTCCACGTTGTCCCGGAGTCTTCTTCCCCGTTGTGGCTCTACCACCAACTAATCTTCCACGTGGCAAAGCCGGTGGCTCGATAAAAATCCTAGAAGAAGCTCGAGGAGGTTTCATGTTCATCAAAATGTCTCTATGATAAACCTGTCATCAAGAAACAAAAAGTCTCAATCTTTCACTCAACAAATCAATCCAACCTTTAACCGAAACAAAATTGTACCTGTTTCACAAAGTTGCGTCTTTCACAGTCCAAGAACATATTGATGCTCCAATCAACTTTCTCTCTTATCTTGTCTCTTGCAATTGCAAAGCTTAGCTGATCTCTGGAAGTAAACCGGTCTACTTCGTTGAACCAAACACACGTGAAAAGGTTTGTGATCGGTATGTGTTCTCTTATGATGGTACAACCTTCAGGAACATCTGCCAAACGATTCAAAAAGTTTCAGTTGTGCTCATAAGACAGACGAAAATTGCGGAATTTTATCATCGTTAAAACCATTACCACTAGTTATTGGAAGCTTAGCCTCGGTATAAGGTGTTAAACCTTCCTTCTTGTAGAACTCTACCTGGTAATCAATTGAGGCATTGTCGTACTTTCTTGCAGCCTTATTCGCCTCAGCCTCTACAAACACATCAAAACGTCGGTAATGTCTCGAGATTGCGAAACTAGAATTCGTTCTCCACAAGAACCTGAACATTGAGAAGACAAATAAAGCTAACTGCTTGGAACAATTACTGTTGAAAGAGAGAGACAGAGGAGTCAATTTATCTACCTCTCAAGGATTTGATATGGATCTACAACAAGCTGGAGCTTTGCATCAACCCATATAGAGTACCGGACATTTGGAAATAATCTATGCAATAGAAGCTTCGGAACCTGTAAAAATGCATAAACGTTTTACCCAATTCGTATTTGTTACATCAGGAAGCATCCAAATCTTGGCTAATTATTCTCAAATCTTTTAACCTTTCCATTACGCCGTGCATCGGAATAAGGGACATTATGTACAACAATGATCCTCCACAATCCTACTCTCTTGTTATCGTCTGTATAACTCGACGTGTTCTTAAGGTATAAATGTGTTTCTTCATCAACAAACATGTAGAATGGGATGTTCTTCCTCGCCATTTCACTGATGTTCACTGGTTCTTGAATTATGTCATACTTTCCTGAGAAAAGATTGAAACTTTATGAGCGAAGTAAGTATATATAAACAATAGATGTCACACAGAAAAATTCCCTCCTAAGAATTTGAATTCTCTCCTAAGCAATACCAAATATCGCTGACGCGACAATCACATCATGGGACTGGTCCAACTCATGAAGGATATCCTCATCAATGTCAAATCCAGTTTGGTGACCCGGTTTTGTTCCTTTAATAAATCTGCGAAAACAATAACAGGAATCAGAAAATTAAAAGTCGATTTCTCAAGAAGAAACCACGGAGTTAAGCACAGAAGCATACCCGCAATGCACTGTCATGGACTCTTTTATGTCAAAGGAGTTAGCCCTATGCTCAAGAGAAGGATAACCTCCGAAATCAGAGCCTCCTTGACTTTCTTCAGGTTTTACAGGACTCTCTTCATGGATATATGTCAGATTCTTGAGCACGGGAGATTCAAATCGATACTTTGGCATATGCGCTAATGCCTCTTCTGGAGGTAGATAGCATACCGGACACGCTGAAAAAAAACAAAATTTACAAACGGGGAAGGTAAATCCGAGTTCTTGCAGGATCAGAGCAAAAACAATTGAATCGAAGAAAGAGCATACGGCGTGGACCAGGCCTTCTCATTTCAGGTGGTGGAGGAGGAGGAAATGAAAAACTATCACATGGATGGTGATGCGATGGAGAAGGATGGTTGACGTCTACATCACTTCCTCCAATGCCATTCCACTTAAAAGAATCTCTAATATGATCATTATCAGAGTTCTGTGTATAGAAAGAAGTCAATTCTCTACTTATCGGTGTTTGGTTGCTTCCAAAATCCATCGTCTCAATACTCTGATGAATGTTTGGACTATTGCTCTCTGTTGTATTCACAAATGCAGGCATCATTACCAACATATTCCAATTGAAATCATTAAGACTTAAAAAAAAAACTTGAGAATACCTTTGTTGATAGTGTAAGAACCCAAGACAAAGACAACAAATGCAAGGCTAAGAAGGAGCAGCATAGCAACTCGTCGACGACCTAAGTACCAGCAACATAAGAAGGAGAGAGACCTTTCCTTCTCTTTAGAATTAGAAGTGAGCATTGTGAAGAAACAAGAAGAAGATAATGCAGACTCAAAATCTCAAGGTTTGAGTAAGTGCAATGAGCCATCATAACTCTCAAGTCCAAAGGACATTCCAGTCATTGTCTCTTAAACCCTCTAGATCGAACTCTCATATCGACACTTTCTCAGATCCAAACCTAAGAAACAACCAGATTTCAAAATTCCACATACATTGCAGGACAAGAAACAGAATCCATTGACAAAAAGTAATTACCAGATCAAGAATCGATTTTTGATTAGAATCCGATTAAAGACCTGCATTGGCATCAAAAAGGATCAAACTTTAAATCAAATCTCGCTTCAATCATTGGCGATTCGTGAATTGAACAGTGCCCACAAATCCAAATCTAACCCTGATACGAAAAAGGGGAAATTTTTTGCATAAGATTCGGAGAAAAAGGTATTACCTTTTGAATGAATACACACTTATGTTCCAAATTCGTCTCTTGATTTACAAAAAAAAAATCAATAAAGGTTTTGTGATTGCGACGCCAAATTTTACACTGATCGATCTGCAGTAAAACATTTAGTGCATGTTTTTGGATTTGTCAACGATTCGGTGTATTTCGATCTCTACGTTATTTTTGAGGGTTTGATAAATTAAAAGTTTATATTTTTATTACAGTGGAGATGTGTTGTGTTTTGTGTTGTCTTTACTCATCGCTGAATTTGATCGTTCCGTAAGAATCTGTAAACTAGGTTTATAAACATTTATCAAATTTTTATTATGATTAGCTCATGTTTAAAAATAGTGATCAAATAATAATTCTGATTTATGTTTTAACTTTTCTCATAAATTAACCTACTTTATATTTAGGATTTTATTTAATTGTATATTTGATTTAATAAACAAATTTTGAAAAGGGTTTTGAAAAGAGTGTTTTATATTTAATTTTCGTTAAATTTTTAAAGATCTCAATAAATTCATAAATTTTGATTTATTCCAGGATTCTCAAACTAAACAAAACAAATAATCAAACGGTTTATCTTAATTTTTGTGTTCACAATAGGGTGTTGATCTAGTGGTAGTGCAGTGGGTTGGTTCTCTTGTGTCTCGGATTCAACCACCTTTTGGGATGACTAGCTCCAAATACCAAAAGAATTATAGGTCAATTGTCAAAGATCTGGAACTCACGTGGTTTATCAAAAAATATCAACAAAACATTAGTGTATGTTTATAACCTTTTGCTACTAAGTATGTTGATTTAATCATATATCATTCATCGTTTTTACTAATTATCATTGTACATCGTATTAAAGGTATTATCTTTTGTATCAACAAACTCATTCAATATGTTGATGTACTACTACTTAGACGATTGATGGAAATGTACTCTTATTTACAATTAAGTGAGATGGAAATGTACTCTCGTTATTCTGGCCGATCTTGGTTTTGAATTGAGTACCTAAAGTTCTTATTCGATCGAAATATAAATACACAAGCCAACCCTATATTGAATGCAGACCCGTCTCAATCATTAGCTAGATCCGGTGCGGTGGTAAAAACAAAACCTTAAATAAAAATAACTTTTACTAATCTTTATGATATTGGAGTTACATGGAAAAGGATAAGCAAAAAAAAAAACAACTATATGAAGGCCTTTTAACAAAAAAAAAAAAAAAAAAAAAACCTATATGTTTAGCGTTTAAGTTATAGTCTAATAGTCTTATTAATTCAGATTTTATTAAATTTATTTGGGCAAAAAAAAAAGACAAACTTTGAATTTAGGCTGGACAAAATGTAAATACACCTCTTGCACTGGACCAGCGACGAGCCAGATTGAATTCATAATTCTACCAATTCTTTAACCAATAAAACACTTTTCACCCACACGACTTGTTGATGACTAATCTTGTTTTGCATTGGAAAATATAATTTACATCTTTGTTCGATTCAGAAAACGTTTCTAATGGGTCTAATAGACTTCGATATGTATCTCATAGAAGATTTAGTCTTATCTCATGTACAAGGGAAAACCCTTAGATCCTATATGTATAAATACTCACAACAGATGAATAAACACAACCAACCTTTTACCTATTATTTCATGGTATCAGAGCTATTAAATTCTGTGACCTAATTTTTTTAAATAAGCCGCCGCCGTCGTTGTTCTTCACAACCACCGCCGCCGCAATCATCTCTTTCGCTTCTATCTCTTCTACACATCATCCTCTATGTCAGAAATCGCCACCGTACCAAAACCAAACCCAAATCCATATCAACTTCATGCTTCTGATAATCCCGGTGCTTTGATTTCTTCTGTTGTCTTAAAGGAAGACAATTACTCTGAATGGGCTACAGAGCTCATGAATTCTCTCCAAGCAAAACACAAACTCGGCTTTCTTGATGGTTCAACACCAAAGCCAACGACAGAACCTGATTTGATATCATGGAAAGCTGCAAATTCTATGATCATCGGTTGGATTAGGACGTCTATTGATCCAACCATACGTTCAACTGTTGTCTTTGTGTCTGATGCAAAAGAGCTTTGGGATAATCTCAAACAACGCTTCTCAACCGGAAACGGTGTCCGCAAACAATTGCTCAAAGATGAAATTTCGGCGTGTAAGCAAGATGGCCAATCTGTTCTTGCTTACTATGGGAGACTAACCAAGCTTTGGGAAGAACTACAAAACTACAAGACTGGTCAGACGTGTACGTGTGCAGCTGCTCCTGACATTGCTAAAGAACGTGAAGATGACAAGGTTCATCAATTCTTACTCAATTTGGATGAACGCTTCCGGCCTATTCGCTCTACAATTACCGATCAAGATCCTCTACCAGCTCTAAATCAAGTGTATTCTCGTGTGATTCGTGAAGAACAGAACCTCAACGCATCACGCATCAAGGATGCCATCAAAACAGAGGCTGTCGGGTTTTCAGTTCAAACCACACCACTTCCGCAACCATCTCAAGTAGCGGCAGTCTCTGCTCCTCGATTTCGCGATCGCTCTTCTTTGAATTGTACTCACTGCCATCGTCAAGGCCATGAAGTAACAGAGTGTTTTTTGGTCCATGGTTATCCGGACTGGTGGCTAGAACAGAATGGCTCTAACGGCTCTGCGACACGAGGATCATCTGGTCGTGGTAACACTGGTCGTGGCAACAACAATCGCGGCGGACGTTCTTCATCCTCTAGCTATCGTGGAAGAGGCCGTGCTAACGCTGCTAGTACTAGCTCTCCTTCTACAAACAATGCTCAGATCAATCAATTGATCTCACTACTTCAAGCTCAAAATCAGACCACCACTACAGAAAAGTTGTCGGGTAAAACTCAATTTACTGACGTTATCATTGACACAGGTGCTTCACATCATATGACCGGCGATGTCACGTTACTCACGGATGTCAAAAACATCATACCTTCGCCTGTCACAAAGCCTGACGGGACTGCCTCTCGTGCCACTAAACGTGGAACTCTTGCGCTAAATAAAGCATATTCACTTCCCGATGTGCTATTTGTGCCGGATTTTAATTGCACATTAATCTATGTTGCCAAGTTACTAAAGCATACTGGATGTATTGCAATCTTTACTGATGCCTTATGTTTCTTGCAGGACCATTTTACGAGAACTTTGATTGGTGCGGGTGAAGAGCGTGAGGGAGTGTATTATTTTACGGGTGTTCTTGCTGCTCGTACTAACAAAGTTGTCAACGAATCATCATCGGCATCATTGTGGCATCATCGATTAGGACATCCATCTACCGGTGTTTTGAGTTCTTTACCAGAGATTACTCTTTCTAGTAGTAGCTTAGATTCCATTAAAAGTTGTGACATTTGTTATCGTGCTAAACAAACACGTGAAGTTTTTTCTCCAAGTCTTAATAAAACTACAGTTTGCTTTGAACTCGTTTGTGATGTTTGGGGACCGTACCGCACACCGGCTTCATGCGGATCTGTTTACTTTCTGACTATAGTTGACGACTTCTCGCGATCTGTCTGGACTTTTCTCATGGCTGAAAAATCAGAAGTCTCTCGATTAATTTGAAACTTCTGTGCAATGAGTGAACGTCAATTTCACAAACCTGTCAAGACGATCCACAGCGATAATGGTACGGAATTTCTGTGTCTCACATCATTTTTTCAAGAAAAAGGAATTATTCATCAAACTTCATGTGTGGATACACCACAACAAAATGGTCGAGTTGAGCGCAAGCACCGTCACATTCTAAACGTCGCCCGTGCGTGTCTTTTTCAGAGTCATCTTCCTCGAAAATTTTGGGGAGAAAGTATCCTTACTGCTACTCATATCATTAATCGCACACCCACCAAAATTCTTCATGGAAAGTCTCCCTATGAAGTACTGTTTGGATCTCGCCCCTCTTATTCAGCTTTGCGAATTTTTGGATGCTTGTGCTACGCTCACTATCGAGCTCGTGACAAGGATAAATTTGGTGAACGCAGTCGACGATGTGTATTTGTAGGTTACCCCTATGGTAAGAAAGGTTGGCGTCTTTATGATTTAGATAACAATAAATTTTTTGTGAGTCGGGATGTTGTGTTTCAAGAAACAGTCTTCCCATTTGCTACTATAGACACTGGTTCACTCACCGTCTCTCCGTCTACGATGCCTTCCTCTACGATCTTTCAAGATGATGACTGGATTCAATCATTGTCGGTTGCTCCTTCACCTCCGTCGGATCTGTTTTCATCGGCATCACCTCCGGTTCCGATACCTACTATGGCTGAGTTACCTTTGGCACCAACTCCAGCCCCGATAACGACTCTGACTCCGATTTCACCATCGACTTCTACTCCAGCTTCACCTTCGTCACCTAGTTCACATACACCTTCACACTCATCTAGCTCGTCGAGCTCGTCATCTTCCTCACCTGAGGCTTCACCGGGTTTACCGGAATTGCTTGGTAAAGGACACCGTGTGAAACAACCATCCGTTCTTCTCAAAGACTATGTTGCTCATCACACCACAACTCCTACTACTACTACTACTACTACTACTACTACTACTACTACTACTACTACTACTACTCCTACTACTAATACACTCCCTACTGCTTCTTCTACACCTCTACCTGATCCTAGTCTCGCTAAAACGGTCTGCGGTAAGATACTTGATTCTATTCCCATATCTATTTCTGACGAAAAATTTTCGGAATTGCATCAAGTTTTTATGGCAGCTATTACCTCCACCACATAACCAACAAGCTATCACCAAGCTTCTCTAATCAAAGAATGGTGTGATGCTATGGGTTTATAAATCACCGCTCTTGAAGAAAATCATACTTGGGATATCACTACCTTACCTCTAGGGAAGAAAGCTATTGGCAGCAAGTGGGTCTATAAACTCAAATACAACTCTGATGGTACTCTTGAACGTTACAAGGCTCGCTTAGTCGCCCTCGGAAATCGCCAAGTAGAAGGATCTGATTTTACAGAAACTTTTGCGCCAGTCGCTAAGATGACAACGGTCCGCTTTCTTCTTGGTGTTGCTGCTGCTAAACAATGGGAAGTTCATCAGATGGATGTTCATAATGCATTTCTTCATGGTGATTTAGACGAAGAAGTTTATATGAAATTGCCTCCCGGGTTTCATACTAATGGTACTAATCAAGTGTGTCGTCTTCGGAAATCATTATATGGACTTCGCCAGGCT